AAAGTAGAATAAATGCTTTAGAAATGCGGTTTTAAGGAGTATGCTAGGGTTGAATCTGAATGACAGGATGAGAAATTGCATGATAAGAGATAAATGTGGTATGCAAGATGATGTTGTGACCAGGATTAAGAAAGGAATTCTTCGGTGGTTTAGTCATGTAGAAAGAATGAATGAGGAAAGAGTGACAAAACAAATTTATATGGCAGATGTGAACGGCAGAGTCGGGAAGGGACGCCCTAGAAAAAAGTTTATCGACCAAATTGGCGATATTTTGAAAATGGGCCACGTTAAAATTACCCTTAACTGACGAGCATGTATGCGTAGGATCGTGTCAAATGGAAGTCCGTGGTCTCTGCCTACCCCTCTGGGTGACAGGCGTGAGTGTTTATGCTTATTATACTAATTAATTCAATAATTTTTTTACACTCTCTGACCCTCGATAGGAAACTAATTTATTGAGTTCGGGCTTAGAATCTCAAAATATATAATATGCAAAACAACTAGCCTCATGGATTTGAATATTTTCCACATATGTTGTTTTGTTTTTGTCTGAATACTCATGTAATAAACTCTCAAAGTCACCATATATTACAATAAGAATTCTTTGAGTCTTTTCATAGTTTGAAAAATAAAGTTTAGTATTTTCTTCCGGTAAAATGGTTTGGATCCTCGCACAATCATGACTTAAAAGTTTTTCTGCAGTGTTAAAATATAAAAAACATTCTTCACATAAATGTATTTTAGATTTATACTTAGTTATTTGCTTGTGTACGAGTTTATCAAACCGTTTTATCGAACAAAAATTATATTTATTATTTTTATTTAAGTAAAGTAAGTTAACATGCTTTGTCTTTCTTTTTAAAGTTTTATACAGCGGCCCGGTCACATTATTTTTTTATCTAAACCGTAAATATTAACGCTCACATTTTGATTCATTTCCTCGAATAATTTAATATCATTAAAACTTGGAGGAAATAACATATTATCTGTTAAGTGTTTTAAAAATAACTTAGTTATCAGCTTATTGTTACATCAGAATGGACCACGTTTCCGCAACCTTTATGTATATTCAAAGTCTTTATATCAACCTAAATACTTATTTTTAGAAAAAGTACTGCAGGATATGGAAGGTACATCTTATTACAAGTATAATCATAATAGTGAAATTTTGAGTCCACACGAAGCTTCGCCGAACTCAATTATAATATTTGACGATGTAGCTTGTGAAAATCAGAACAACATACGCGATTATTTCGCCATGGGTCGACATAAGAACATTGACTTTTTTATATTAATCAAACGTATACAAAGATACCTAAGCAAGTAGTAAGAGATAACGCTAACCTGATCATATTGTTTAAACACATTTATGACGAACATGTTGGGTCTGACATGACATGGTCTCAGTTCCGGGAAATGTGTTCAACTGTGTGGAGTAAACGTTTCAATTATGTTGTTATAAATAAAGACTGTGAACGAAATAAAGGCTGTTACAGAATGAAGTTTGATACATTCATACTAGTAGACTAAACGTTTAAATTGCTGCTATGTCACAAAGAAATCAGTTTCTGTTGAGTAGTCAAACAGAGTGCAATTCATTGAATAAAACTATTATTTACGGATTTTATCGCGTTTAATTCAACTTTAATTTATTTTTATTATCCCGCCGTTTCGACGTTTAAAAAATTATTAGAGTGGAATTCCTTTACAATGGAACGAGACCTTAAGAAACATATTGTAAAATCTGCTGCAGCTGTAAAAAGGAAGATAGAAATGATAAAAGATGCAAAAAATACAAACAATCTGGCTTTGGAAACAATATTTAAACCTATCGTTGATCCGCTTAATATGATTACCAGAAAACTGAAGAATAGAAGCATTTAAATGAGTACTACTACTAAGCTCATCTTATTAAACAACCTAAGTACAGCGCAAGTGAGTCATCGATTTTTCTTCAAGTGATGTGTTTGAAGATCTTGTTAATGATGAAGAAAACTCGGATAAAATGTTTATACAACATCCAACAAAACCCTCACTCACTCGCTTCCTGCGGATGATAAAAACACAAATGAAATTTGGTTTAGATCTCATCAATCAACACCAAGTATTGCAAATGATTCATTATCGTGGTCTATGTCATCTGAATTACTAAAATATGTACCTTATGGTGTCAGAAATGAACATGGGAAACTAATGATCGGCACATTTCGTGTCTATGATGATTATCACATCTTAAAAATTGGAAATCATAGTTTGAAAAAAAAAACTCCGGGCTTAAAAGAGTAATTGTTTAAAAAGCTACCAAATTTAGATATTGTAACCGAGGAAGACTTACAAAATTATAAATTGTTACTTTTGGATACTAATGACACAAAAGTATTAATGATCCATCCAAACCGATTAACAGTAACAAAGGATTTAAATATATGAGAGTGATCAAACTATTGTTTAAGCACTCGAAAATCATAAAAGTAGTGTAGAAAGTCTAAAAAGGGAGAAGGAGTTGATATTTTAAAAGAAGTTAAAAAGATAATGATTTGGTTTACTGGAACGATACAAACGAGTTAGTGGAACGATTAAAATTACTACTTGGATAATGGGCACCTGGTAACACGGGGGTTTACAATGAAATTTATCCAATAATCGAAGAATTGCATGAATCTGACGTCATAAGACATTAAATATATTAAGCTACCTACAGGAGGATTACGCAGTACCATTTCATTACAGAAGTCGATAAGAAATTTGGTCATTCTCAGTGACGCTTTATTTAGGATAGACGCAGGTGATTTTGATTTGAAATCAACAAAATTAAAAGGACTGTAAACTCCTAAAAAAGAAGATGAGGCTTTGAATAAAAAATATGTGGATAAATGTGTTCAAGAACTTAAAAATGAAATAAAAACAATTCACAATAATGTCAAAAAGTACCTTAGCAGTTTTCAAAAATTGACTACTAGCAATTTCAGGACATTGTATTACACTAAAAAGGAAATCGACCTCATGATTGCATCAAAACCTACCCAAAATGAGTAAACAAGATATAGTCAATGAGTTTCACAAAGCAGCAAGGCGAAATTTTTCTCGTCAACATACGATTATTAAAGGAATAGATGATTTATGGCAAGCTGACCTGATTGATTTTCAAAAATATTTAACGTTTAATAAAGGATATAAATATGTGCTAGTAGTAATCGATGCTCTTTCAAACTACATATGGGTTAGACCATTGAAATCGAAACATGAAAAATGTGTCAAAAATGCGATGCAAAGTTTATTATCTGAATTAAGACGAAAACCTAAAAATATACAAACGGATCTTGATACAGAGTTTTATAATGATTCTTTTAAGAATTTAATGAAAAATTATAATATAAATCATTATGCCACGTACTCCATTAAAAAGGCCTCCATTGTAGAACGAGTAATAAGAACTTTAAAAAATCGGCTTTACAAAATATTCAGTCCATACGGACAATATCAATGGTTCAAAAATAATTTAGATTTTGTTGTAAAACGGTATAATAATACTTTACATCGCATTACAAAATTCAAGCCTATCAACGTTAATGATTTAAATGCGATTTTATTTATGTCAAACATCAAGAAGTCTCAAAAACCTAAGATACGTCAAGGACCAACGTTTCAAGTTGGCGATTACGTTCGTATAACCAAATTACAAAGGCGATTTTTATAAAGGTTATACCCCTAATTGGTCTACAGAAATATTTCGTATCGTTAAAGTCAACCAAACCAATTCTCAAACCTATCAAATTGAAGAAAAACACAATCAAAAAATTTTAGGCTCTTTTTACTGTTACGAACTACAAAAAACTAAATTTCCAGACCTTTATCTTATTGAAAAAGTCATTAAAAGAAAAGGAAATAAGCTTTTAGTAAAAAGGTTAGGTTTGAGTGATGACAAAACAGTTGGGTGGATAAAAGTGAATTAGTAGTGTAGGTATATAAATAACGTATTATTACTTAATAATCTCATTTTATACTTATCGATGAAGGAAGGCAGTGGTACAATTAATAAAGTAATAGACAATTTACCGTTTGAGTTACATTTACCATTTTTTTTAAAAATGGGGAAATGCCTACGCATACCCGCCTCGCGGGGGTAAGGACGGGTTATGTCGGACTCGCACCGACTAAAACCCCATGGTGTTCCACCTTCGTCGAATATGGGCAGGGCTAAGGGAACGCTTTCGCACACTTCCGCGGCCCTACCAGCGACTGCCGCCCCATGGCAGCACCTCCTCGGGAGAGGAATATTCCTCCCCCGTTCTCCTTCCCAAGTAAGGCGCACCAGAACACATGGCACGCCTTCCTCCACAGCCTCCAATTGCATCTGCGCAACAGACGCCCCCGCGTCCGATGTGTGAAGGCCATGGGGCCAGGAAAAACGAGCACTTAGAAGTACTAGCCTTCCCGACCGCAGCGGCGGATCTGGTCTATGGCTCCGCCGCCAACCAAGATTCGGCTGCGGATGATAGGGAGAGTGGCGCCTCGCAATACCGACAATCCTCTCCCCCCGCAGCCCCATCACCACCGCATCAACGGTGCGGCCCCGTTTGAGTCGCGGAGGATAGGGCGAGTGGCGCATCGCCATACCAACACTCCTCTTCCTCCGCGACTCCACCTCGGCTGCAGCGGTAGAGGGTGCGGAGTCCCCACCCGCTGCAATCCACCAGCACACATCCGAAGTGGGCTCCTCAAGCCCACTCGGAGTGGCCACCTCAGGCCGGCCCTTCACCTCGGGCCAGCCACGTGGTTTCCTTTTTGTTCACCGTGGGAGACCAAGCCACGGCTACGTAAGCCCCCCGCCACGACAAGGCGGGAACCCGTTCGGGGGGGGGGGGGAGTTACATTACCTGGGTATCAAAATTGCGGTCCCGGAACGAAACTTCAAAAATGTTTACTCAAAGGCGATCGCGGGATAAACAAATTGGATGAAGCGTGCATGCTCGATAGTCACTCGGCTATAAAATACGCCTATGAAGCTGCTAAGAAAATATTTTGTAATAAAAAAGGAATATGTTTACCCCGTTGTATTCCTCTTCCAAAGTGTGGAGGACTTTTTACCCCTTATTCCCATATTTGTGGGATTATCAGCTTTAGGATCATTAGCTGGTGGAGCAGCGGGTATAGCAAAAGCTGTTTATTCAAAAGCAGCACAAAAGAGTCTTCAGGAATCTGAAAGACATAACAGAATGATGGAAGCCGTTGCTCTAGGAAAAGGATTATACATTAAACCTCATAAACAAGGAGCAGGTTTATATCTTAACCCCTCAAAAAACTAATTAGACGGCTATCAAGACGGGCGCTCACTAACCTCGATATATTAGAACATGCAAGTGACATTCCATACTTTCGCGGTGTTTTCATGAGAAATAAATTACCTTTGAAACCGAGAAAGATAGAATGTGGAATACTGAATTTGGATAGCTACAGAAATCCTGGAACGCATTGGGTAGCCTTTGTAAAGCACAATAAATACTGTAACGCTTCCCCCCTCTCTCATAATAAATATATTATCTCTAAAGTATTAGGTATATTCCCCTTTACATATTAATTATATATATATATATATATATATATATATATATATATATATATATATATTTTTTTATATATATATATATATACAGACCAGGATAAATAAGATATGTTTTTGATCTTTCTAAAGGTTTAATAATAGGCCGTTTGTAATATTTTGTCGTGATCGTCTTAGTTAGGACCCTTATTTACGTTGTGTTTGTTTAGTAACTTAGTTCTTTTAGGTGTCTTTTGGAAGAATGAATATTCACTAGAGCAATTGAAAGCTGTTGGTAGTGCCTTATAAGCTAAGTAAACCCCGTTCACGAAGACAGGGCTCGAGAAAGGTTAAGAACATAAAACGTCCTATTCCACTTGTATCAGGTTTACATTATTAATTATCACCTCCCGCTCGAAAAAGGCTCAAAATATATTTATACAAGATACCCGATACAAGGGCTTTGCTCTCCTACATTTATTTAAAAAAATGTTGGGGAGGCACACGGCCCCACACACGCCGTGCACGCACGACGTGAGCGCCAACCATTTTGATGCACTCCCCACGCAGGGAACGCTAATTCGGGAACTGGACCGTAGTCCACAGCAAAATAACTGGCGAACCAGTAAAAGAGGCTTGGCCCCTTGTTAGTGCGTAAGCACAAACATCGACCGAAGTCGCGCATGTCAATGCGTGTAAACGTCATTTAGAATACGAACGAATCCAGCCAAAGTGAATGTACGTCACACGGTTTGGGCAAATAGGCACACTGGCCGTAAACCCTCCGTGAGCGCCACCACCTGCCGGACCACCGCTCCTGCAGACGTGATGTAAGTGTATGACATCACCACCAATTGCATGATCAGCACGGCTACTAGCCGCAGAGCGTGTCATGAGTATACCGCTCACCTCAAGGGAATGGGGTCCCACGTTGTGCGGCTTTCGGCCGCAGCCTTGAGAGTCTTCTCAGATCCTCTCGCCAGCTACCACCCGCATGAGGTCGACACATAAGCTCCACCAACCAATACAAAGGCAGATATAGCCAAAAGGCAGTTATAAGATAAGAGTAATAATTCGCTATCAGAAGGGGTTTGTGTCACTGACGTTGAGTAAATGCATTTTCGATCATGTTTGTCTCACCCACCAACAAGTTGCCTTCAATCATTCAAAGGTGGAAAAGTTACAGAGATATAATATTACGTTGTTATATAAAACATCGTGGAGAGCAGACAGTCTGCAGCCCCGTAATGAAGGGACCCGACTTGGGCAAAGCTACTCAGGCGAGAGTCAAACCAAGACGCAGAGAGCGCCATTGAGAATAGCGTCCCACCAAACAACCATCGCAGAGACGCAATGCTGCAGAACGCAACAAGCATCAAAACGACTATCGTCGGGCTTACACCATCCCAAGGTCCCCCATAAATCCTAGCAGACATCACCACCCGCATACCTCCATCGACCAGAACCACGAGAGTGCGTTGAATCAGGCGCAGCACACAGATCCATCACAAGACGCAATACCGCAAGTAGCAGTAAGCATCAATGCTACTATCATGCGGATGGCGCCCCCTCACAACACACCCACATGACCCCTATCGATTTTGGTTACAAAGTTTTTATTGTTGTTATATGAAAAATATCACCAACGTATCACAGTAGCACGCTACTAAGACGCCAATGAACAAAACTCCACGTATCATAGCGCTGATGCACTGACATGAAGTTTAGTATGCCTGTTACACTTTAAAGTGCTGCCAAACACACTCATCATCCCAATCCGAAAGATAGACGACGCATCGCTATGCGCTACGACGTCGCCCACAAACGGTATGGGTGTGCGATGTCCACGGGAAAGCCGTATTGCTACAACAAACCCGCTTACCACCGGCACTAAGATTGTTGTTATATAAAACTGCACCAAAGTATCATAGTATCACGCTACTAAGACGCCAGTGGACAAAACTCCACGTATCATAGCGCTAATGCACCAAGACATGAAGTTTAGTATACCTGTTACACTTAAAAGTGCTACCAAACACACTCATCACCCTAATCCGAAAGATAGACCATGCATCGCTATGCGCTACGACGTCACCCACAAACGGTTTGGGTGTGCGATGTCCACGGGAAAGCCGTATTGCTACAACAAACCCGCTTACCACCGGCACTAAGATGTTATTTGTTTACCTCCATCGATCAGAACCACAAGAATGCGTCGAATCAGGCGCAGCACACCCGCAGATCCATCACAAGACGCAATACCGCAAGCAGCAGTAAGCATCAATGCAACTATCATACGGTTGGCGCCCCTTCACAACAACCCACATGATCCCTATCGACTTTGGTAACAAAGTTTTTATTGTTGTTATATAAAAAATATCACCAACGTATCATAGTAGCACGCTACTAAGACGCCAATGAACAAAACTCCACGTATCATAGCGCTGATGCACTGACATGAAGTTTAGTATGCCTGTTACACTTTAAAGTGCTACTAAACGCACTCATCATCCCAATCCGAAAGATAAACGACGCATCGCTATGCGCTACGACGTCGCCCACAAACGGTATGGGTGTGCGATGTCCACGGGAAAGTCGTATTGCTACAACAAACCCGCTTACCACCGGCACTAAGATTGTTGTTATATAAAACTGCACCAACGTATCATAGTATCACGCTACTAAGACGCCAGTGGACAAAACTCCACGTATCATAGCGCTAATGCACCAAGACATGAAGTTTAATATGCCTGTTACACTTAAAAGTGCTACCAAACACACTCATCACCCTAATCCGAAAGATAGACGATGCATCGCTATGCGCTACGACGTCGCCCACAAACGGTATGGGTGTGCGATGTCCACGGGAAAGCCGTATTGCTACAACAAACCCGCTTACCATCAGTACTAAGATGATATGTCTAGGACACATCGGTTAGCGAGTCCAAGTTTAACTCGGACCAATTGCTCGTGAAGCAGCATACACGCCACCATAATATTCGTTTTCAAGTCCCTAATAAGGACTAGTTATTTTGCTACAGTACTAGGAACAGTCGGTCACCCGACCACTCTATACAATGCTTATGCATCAAGGAGACCTCCTATAATATTGCTTTTGTATTATAGACCTTACTTTCATAATTCATGCATATATAGGATTAGAACCCATGACCCTACTATTGTAATGCAAATTCATCATGGAGACCTTCTATAGTATTGCTTTTGTATCATAGACCTTACTTTCATAAGTCATTCATATATAGGATTCGAACCCACGACCCTACTATCTTAATGCATATTAATCATAGAGACCTTCTATAGTATTGCTTTTGTATCATAGTTACTTTTAGTTTTAGACCTTACTTTCATAAGTCATTAATATATAGGGTTCGAACCCACGACCCTACTATTGTAATGCATATTAATCATAGAGACCTTCTATAGTATTGCTTTTGTATCATAGACCTTAATTTCATAAGTCATTAATATATAGGGTTCGAACCCACGACCCTACTATGCATGCATATTAATCATAGAGACCTTCTATAGTATTGCTTTTGTATCATAGAGTTTAATATCATAAGTCCCTAATATAGGACTAGTCATTGTGTTACAGTACTTCAGGCAGTCGGGCTCCCGACCACCCCATATATGTACAACTGCAGGTATGTATCTCCGACAGCTCCTACATACAAGACATCTATACATGAACACCTTACATAACTTAGGAAAATTTTCTTTTATACGTGAACTCCTTCCACAACTTATGAAAATTTCTTTTATATATGAACTCCTTCCAAGACTTAGACATTTTTTAACAAATTTTCTAATTATCTTATAAATGTTATCTATCTTTATTTTTATAATATTTTCGACTTGTATTTCTATTCATATTTATCTTATTTTAAATATTTTTTCAGGTATTTAATAAATTTATTTATTATGGAAGACAATATTTTGCCTTTAATTTACTATGTTATTGGTCTAATGTCTGAAATGTATTTATATTAACTTAATGCTTATTAATGTAACCTTATTGCTTAATATATAATTTTTAAGACTATTTTTGACGCCCCTTTATATTGAATTTAATTATTAATAATAATATTGGGCCGTCACAATACGTAGAATATTATGATAGTTTTGGTAATTTAAAGCCCCCGTTAGAATTAGTTAAATATATGTATAATTTACCTACATAAATACATACATAAACACTCACGCCTGTCACCCAGAGGAGTAGGCAGAGACTACAGACTTCCATTAAGCACGATCCTGACACACCTCTCTTGCTTCCTTCACATCCATACACCTACGCATACATGCTCGTCGGTTAAGGGTACTCCTAATTTGGCCCGTTTTCAATAAATCGCCAATTTGGTCGATAAATTTTCGCCTAGGACGTCCCTTTCCGACTCTACCATTCACTTCCGCACCATAAATTTTCTTTGTCACTCTTTCCTCATTCATTCTTTCCACATGACCAAACCACCGAAGCATTCCTTTCTTAATCCTGGTCACAACATCATCTTGCAAACCACACCCTTCTCTTATTACACAATTTCTTACCCTGTCATTCAGATTCAGCCCTAACATACTCCTTAGCGACCGCATTTATACTGCGTTTATTCTACTCTCTTGCTTCTTCTGCCACACCCAACTTTCACTACCATACGTTAAAGTAGGGACCAACACAGCATTGTGAATTTCCATACGTGCCTTTTTCGACACATTTTGACTCTTCACAATAGAGTGCAAGGCCCCATT